CGCGGCGATCCACTGCGCCTCGCGAAGACGCGCGAGACGAGGCGGCCATTGGAATTCGCTGCCGCGCGCGCAAAGCAGCGAGAGCGCCTCCGGAGTGGAGCTCGCGGGGCGCGTCCTTGAGCGCGAGTCTTGGGCCGTGGAGGGAGCGAGGCTTGGACGGTACGTGCGGCGGCGGCGGCGGCGGCGGCAGCGGCGGCGGCGGCGGCGGCGGCGGCGGCGGCGGCCGATAATTAATGGGGGCGAGGAGCGCGGCCCGGCAAGTTTCGCCATGAATTTCTACCTGCCTCGCGTACGCGCGGCCTGACCCGGCGCCAGCGGATTAGAGGGAAAACGCGGCCCGGTCGCGGCCTATTTATTGGTTAAACGATTAGCTAGGCTCCGCGCAGTTCGCGGCCTTTCGCAGGCAATTTCAAGCTCTCGCTCCACCCGGCGACGAGTGCGCGATTGATTTACGGCCTATAAAGCTCCATCGACTGTTTTATTACGCGACTCGATCGCCTAATGAAAGCCGCCTGCGCGTTTTTCCGCGCGTACTTTCGTTTTCTTTAGCTCGCGCGCTGCCGAGCCTCGAGCGGACGATACCGCGAGGCGGCCTTTATGGGGAGATGTGTGCCACGGTGGCGAACGCGCGCACGGGAAACTAGGTCGGTCGAATCTAAAATTTTTGCGCGACAAAGGAGCCCATTGATGCGGATACTCTCGCGGAGAATGCGGCTGATTGAAAAATCCACTTTGCGGGATTGAGGAGCGAGCGAGCGCGCGGGAAAAGAAAAAATTTTTTTATCCTCCTCCTCCTCCTCCTCGCCGGTGACGACGACGACGACGACGACGGAGAACGTATTAAATTGTCAATAGAGCGCTGAAAATCTCGCGAGTCATCATCGAGCATTACGGTATACTTTCCCAGGCGCGGAAAGCACTCAAGAGCGAGGAGAGCCGCGCAGCGAGAAAAAAGAAAGCAGCGTAGCAGCGGCGGTAGCGCCAGCCGCGGCACTTTCGACGTCCGCTCGAGTTTATGAACGCTTTAAAGCATTTCCCCGAGTGTTCGAGATACGTATATAGCGCGTCGTGGCCGTTTTCTTCTCTCTCGCTCTCTCTCCCTCCCCTCATTTTTTCTTTCTTTCTCTCTTTCATTGCGTAATTACAGCGCTCACCCCGCTAATTTTCAAGCCCGCGCGTAACGTAGTAATTTTTGCGAATGCGAGCGAATCGAGCGAATGTGTGTCAGCACGCGGACTATTTAGCGCGGCGCTGGAAAAAGCGCGGCCGCTCTGTCGGGAGAGAGAGAGAGAGAGAGAGAGAGGCGGAGTAACCGACAGTCCGGGTGGTCCGCGCCTCGGTCTGCGCAGCTACACGCAAACGAACGAAATTGAGATTGAAACGGAGCAAAAAGAGCAGAGAGCGCCCATCGGCCCAACGACGTCGCGTTGTTTGGCAAATCGATCGCTCGAGGGCCCGCGAGCTTTTCGCCAGTCCGCCGCCGCCAGGCCGCGACCGATGCCGCAACCGCGCGCTTGCGTCTTCGGCGGAAAGTCGCGAGCGCCCAGCGCCGACAGTAGTAGCGCATTATCGCGAGAGACGAGCGGGAGAGGGAGGGCAAGCCACCATAAATACGTCCGTCTAATTCGATAATCAGCGGCCAGCCACGGGTACGAGGTGCATTGTAAGCCGCGCCGAGCGAGTCGGGTCAGTCTGTCGATGCAGCCAAATCATATAGCTCTCGGACCACCGGCATCGAGGCGGCGGCGGCGGCGTCGTCGCCGTGGTCGTGGTCGTGGTCGTTGTTGTTGCGGCTGCCCAGCCAGCCAGTCTGCCCTTTCGTCGGCGAAGCCGCGCGCGCCTAGCAATTATCGCCGGGAATGCAGCGCCTCTTGTCCTAATCTCGCGCCCGCATCTGAATTATTAGGTCTTAAATTGAAAACGAGTGACCCCCGTTCGTAGCGAAATGCCTGTCGATAATCGCGGGTGCCAGAGATAAACGATAGTCCCTATCTCGTCAGTGACGCTGGCGCGGGTTCGCCGCGAAGAAGCCGTCCCGATCCCGAGCGCTCGCGCGGCCCTCGCCATCCGCGGAATTTCGCCGAGCCTCGTCCGACGCGGAGAAGCCGACGCCTCGGAGGTGGAGGTGCGCGCGCGGGGACACGCTGTAACGCAACGCCCCGGGACCGCCGACACGTGCGACGCTTTCTTTCGGCCCTTTCCTCGGTACGGCCGAGAGCCCTTCGCCGGCGTATCTCCTATCGTGAACATGCTATTTTTAAGGCGCGTGATGTATGTCCAACAGACCTCGAAAAAGACTCCCCCCGGACACGACTGCGTAACGTCTCGCCGCTCCGATTCCAATGATCGAGCCTCTCCCGACGCCTCGGCCCAGCGGCTCGTGCTCGCTCACGAGAGGCCAGAACAACGTCCCGGGTAGAGAGCGAGACCTTGGCAGCCATTGCGCGTTGCGCGCTCGTCCGCTAATCGTCCAAAGAGTCGAAAAAGTAATGAGCGCGCGTGCGCAACGGTGCGACTCCGCGGCCGTGAGAAGCTGGTGCTTCCAGCTTCCCCGGCTTCCGTAATTGCGGTTATTTTGCGAATCGACCGTCAGCGATATCGCAGTCCGCGGACGTGGAACTCGCGGGGGCAAACCGACGGAGCAAGGGAGCGAGAGAAGCGGCGCTGCCGAGGTCGCGCGGCGCGCCGAGCGAGGGGCACCGAGCTCGGGCCCGGGCGCTCCGAAGCGACCCGCCGGGCGGTCGGCCGACACGACGCGTGCACGCGAAGGCTCGGGGCGTCCATCGGAGCAGCGCGTTTCATTGGTCTCGCGTATGACGGGAGTCCGCGATTCGGAGGCACGGCGATCGATCGAGCGCGAGTGGCCCTGCTGCTCGGCTGATTGCGGAGCGCGCGGATTAGACTCACCAGCGCCTTGCTCGGCTTACCGTGCGTCCGAGCGAGTTCCGTTCGCGCGCCTTTTACTGCCGCAGTCTTAACCTTTTTTCCGCAGGGCCCCGCGTCGACTCGCCACCCATTTTCGACGCGCCAGACTCGCTTCACGCGATCGGAGATGCACGCGCGAAATAACAATCTTCTCGGTCGGAGCCTCGAAATGCCGATGACTCGCAATGCGTAAATTCCAGGGTTCGCGCGCTATTTCGACGTGCAGGAAAAAAGGAAAACAACGCGGCGCGCGTGACAACGTGCGGAGGGAGGGAGGGAGAGAGAGAGAGAGAGAGTCCATTGCCACTGCAGCGATTTGGCCTAGATGCCCGCAGCGCACGCGTGCAACGAGAGTCCATTTGCTGGCGCGTGATTGAAAAAGTTTTCGGCGCTGCATACCTACATGTATACCCGCGGGGGGCGCGCGAGGATCAATTAAATCGGCTTTGTCTTGGAAATGCGATTGTCGAGCGCATCATCCCAGCCTCGGCGATACGCGTCGTCGCGCGCGCGCTGCCGCTGTCGATATCGGCGAGCAGCGACTTCCTCGCGGAGCGGGGCGACACGCGGGAGGAGGCCCCGCGGCTGGCGGTGCGCCGTTCCGCGACACCTCGCCGGCGCACTTCTCCGCGATCGGCCGAGGCCGTCGCCTGTCGCGCCGCTCGAGGCCTCGACAGGCGAATTACGCTCGGGGCAAGCACGCGTCGCCAGCTGCAAAGACGTCTCAAGTTCTGCCCCGCCGCCACGCGGACTCGTCCTTCCTCGTTCGCTCGCCTCGGGAGGTATCGTGTTCGCCGAGCACGGCCTCGCGGAGACCGCTGCGACGCGCGTGGCCACCTTGACCGGGCAGTCGGCGCGAGCGTTTCGCGGGCTCCGCGCAGCCCCCGGCGGTCCGGCGAGGCTCCAACGTCCATCGCGAGCGAGGCGCCGCCACGCTACGCCCACGGTGTCCCACGCTCCCGCTCGCCGCTTTCTAATCTGCGCTCCGCGGCGAGCGCGCCGTCACATATCGCGTCGCCGTCGGCATAAATCAGCGCTGCGACTGCGCTCTTTCGCAGCTTGCGTAATTCGTATCTGCGCGTGAAAAGTTCGGGCGATTTATCGGCCGGGGAAGGGCCATTGTCGGCATCGGCTGGCCGCTGCGCCGAACGCCGGATGCTTTCCCCTCTGACTCTGGGCGCTCGGCTAACGACGCTCCGACGCGGTCGCGAGACAGCGCCAACTTGTCTATTTCTACTCGAGCCCGTCGCAGCCGCGGGTTCGATTGGACTCGCCTCTCGGAAACGTCGGCTCGCCCGGCGAGCTGTGTATTCCGCGGGTTCGCCGCGCCAAAAAGCAGAGGATTTCCGATCGCGCAAACAAACACGGCTCGCAGGCATTTCAAGCGGGAATCAGCGTTCGCTAATAGCAGCACGGAACATTTGTTTTAACGCAGCGCTCGATTCAAAGGCCCGTACTGCCGGCCCCGGAAGAACGAAAACAACGAAAAACACGTTTATCCGATCGAGTGCGCTCCCGTCGGAAAAATAAATCGCGAGCGAAAACAACGTACGCGCCGAGCGCAACGCGCACGAAACGAAACGATCGCGGCGATTTGCCCCGTGGCCCGAAGTCGCGTTTACAAGGCGAGGGAGACCCAACTGCGAAACTTTATTAGTCCCGCGCGCGTCGCCAAAGTTTAGTATCGCGTTGCGCTATAAACGCCCGATTAATTTGCTCGCTCGGCCGATAAACCGAACGCTCGCGCGGGCTGCGCATTGGAGTAGCCTGTCTGACAAAGCTGCCGAAGAGAGCGGGTACTTATGCGATTTTCACAGTTGCTCGTAAATAAAGCGCTTTATTGAACTAGTTGTCGAGAGAGGAGAGAGAGAGAAAGGCTTTTATGGTGCTAATGCACGTCTCTAGGTGGAAACCGTATAGTAGTTCTCTCGGACAATCGCGATAAGAGGCGCCGTGCGTTTTTTGTTTTTCATGCACTCTCGTGAAAAGCGTGCGAGTGTCTGTCTCTCTGTGTGTCCGTGTGAGCTCTGATAATGCTTGAATTATGTAAGTGTTTAAAGGCTTTTCGCGTCGAACGTAGAGTCGAAGATCAATGACCCTCCTCCGACTTGACACGCAAACATGAAGCAATAAAAAGCTACCACAATGAGAGAGAGAGAGAGAAACCGACGCCGGGCGCGATGATGGGAGCGAGAGTCAGCCGAAATTGTCTTAATCCCGCTCTTTCGAGCGAAGCGCCCGCCCGACTCACCATCGCTCGCTCCATTGTCACACTTACCGGCAGATGAGTTTCCAATTTATCACTTCGATTTTTCCGTCTGCGGCTGTAAACTCCGGATTATAACTGTATGCGCGAGGAAAATTAAAAGCGTCGCAAAAAGTTGGTCGGCCTCTCGAAGCAGCAGCAACAGCAACAGCGGATGATGATTAAAAGCCTTGTAAACGTCATCTCGCGTACGCGTGAGAGGAGGATGTTTAGAGAAGAGAGCGTGCCATCATCATCGACTTCTCGAAAAGAAAAAAGAAAGAAAAAGCCTTGGCTCGAGCTGTTTTATCTGGAACAGTTGGCGTTGCGGCTGTTTCGTAATCGGCCGTATACGTATTGCGTTCGGCCGGTCGATTTCGGTGTGCGCAGACGCTCGCGCGAGCGACGCGCTCGTTCGTGCCAACGCACACGCGAGGCAGAAGGCGACGGGCCCGACAGGAGGCAGGTGTGTGCGAGGAACAGAGGAGAGCCGCGCCGAGGCGCGAGAGATTACAGCGGGCCATTAAAAAATAATGGGCGCGCGCTGAAGTAGAGGAGCGCGGCGGCGCATCCGTGTCACTCGATCAAAATCATGGCGCACACACACGCTCGTGGAATGCTGACTGGCTGGCACTGTCTCCGTCCGACAATCGATTGGCAGCGAGCATACCGATGCAGAGAGAGAGAGAGAGAGGCGCGTCAGCTCGAGCCAACGCATGCACCCAGAGAGATCAGCTATGCTCGCTGCACGTGTCGATATAATTAGACGGCTAGATGGGCTTGACTTACGCGCGGCGTCCATTGTTTCGCCTAATCACAGACAGCCACGCACGCCCGACGATTCTCCATCTCGAGCGATCGCGCGTCCGGAGATCCCCTCGTTTGCATGCTTCATCGTGTCGCGAGAGGCACTCGCGGACTCTCTTCCCCTCTGAAGTCCTCGCAGAGCAACGGGACGGGTCTGTCGCAACGGCACTCGTCGTGCGCGTCCTCTCGGAGATGCCGCCGAGTGAGCGTCTTCGCTGTTGTTCTAACCTCGATGCCGAAAGATCCGGCGCGCCCGTGGAGAAACCAGGGCCAACAAGGTCGAGTATGCGGCGGGCAAATGGTGTTTCGTCGACGAGAGGCGCGCGAGACGCAGGAGGGCTCTCGAGCTCTGTGCGCGCGGAGATTGTCGGAGAAGCCCTCGGACGATGATCGCCGGGGCGACCGTTTTTTCCTTTTGTTCGCGGAAGGGCGCCGCACGACAGGTAGTCGAACCGACGAGAGATAAGGCGACGACGTAACGGGGGGCTTTGTTTCGCGAGACTACTACGATTGCGACCAGATGGGACTGCCTCGTGAAAAGTCTCGTCTTCTTTTTCGGCGAAGGTGGACGGAACCGATCGGAGAGAGATATATAGCTCCGGGGGTTTTGCCAGCTATTGGCATCGTAGAAAGAATTCCGGAGCTGGAATATAACGCTTGGACCGACAGCTTTCTCAGAGAGATACCTTAATGACGAAACACTTGGTTTCTTACTTTCTTTTTCGTCTAACACTACATATATTTAAAATGACATGCGCCAAAGATTTATCAACAGGCGCCGCTGCATTGCGAAACGTGTATCCATAACTATTCATAATTCACAACTGTTGTAATACACGCGCTAATTAACTAGTCGGTCATTGGAAAGCACAATGAAAATATCGGAATCTAATGAAAAGTTACACGATGCGGAGTGATAATGCAACGGATGCGTATTATGCTAAGATCGCAACTTACGAAGCGCCGATAAATATCAGCGTCTCTTTTGCGAGTTGCAACTCTGGTTCTCACGGAAGAAAAGGGAATATCCAGTCAATAAAGAGTCGGTGCCTGGGATCGAAGGTGACGAAAAATACAGTCACGGAAACACGTGCGGCCGGGAGATTGGACGGAATGAAAAAAAAGGATTCAGAGAGGGGGCGGAAGGCGCGCGCAGGAAGGCCCAAAAATTAGGAGAGAAAATGAGACGTAAAAGAAACGCGTTCGTGGCGCGGAGACAAATGACCGGCTGCATAGTACAACGAAAACGAAAGGCGGCGCGATGGCGGCGGCAGCAGCAGCAGCAGCAGCAGCACAGGTAGCTCGAACCAGCTTATCGTGGATTTTCATCTCAGAACTTTTCGAGAGAGAGAAAGAGGACGCACCTACCTATCCGCCCTTTCCACGTGATTACATTCACGTCACGATTCCCTATGACGCTGCGCGCTCATCTTACATTTTTAAATTCCTGCCGATGTGGTCGTTGCGCGCGGCGCAAAAATTTCTCAACTAGCCGCGCGCAAAAACGACGGGGGGCCGCAGTGCGCCGCGAATTAGAAACGATTAGCATCCGACGGATTCGAAAAATGAGAAGTCCCGATCGATTTTTCCTCGCCGCGTCGACGTTCGCGAATTGCTTCGTGCGCCTCGTCTCCGATGCGAGTGGAGGAGCCCAGAAAGTTCCGTCTGCCACGGGCGTCGACCAGTCGTGCCGTTCGATCGGACGTACTCGGAGACACGTGAGAGCCTCCGCAGAGGGAGACCTGCATCCATCCGTAAAGTCCGACGTCGGGCTGATAATTGTTGCGCGTCGCGCCGCAACGTAAACAGAGACTGGCGGAGCACGTGTTTAACACAGAGAGCGAGAGAGAGAGAGAGAGAGAGTCGAGCGGCGAGCACAGTCGGAGACAGAGAGGGGGCAGCGGCAGCCAGCGAGCGAGAAGAGCCGGCGTGAAAAGAGCGCGCCGAGCCGAGTGCAGCCAGTAAGGCGATGGTCATCCGGCCGACGAGTCGTTAGTCCAGAAGTACGCGCTGCCGAGCATGGCCCACGGACATGACGCCCAAGCAGGAGTCCACCCTCGTCACCTTGCAAAAGGTCAGCAGTCTTTGTCGTTCCGTCGAGTCGCGGTGACGCGCGCGTGTGTGCAGTGCCGAGATAGTCAGATAGTCGATCCGACGTCGCCCGGCCTGGCGGCGTACGGCCACGCGTGTCGCCGCCGATCAAGTTCGCGCCCTCGCGGCTGCCAATTGGCGCGCCAGCTCGAAGAGAGCACCCTCGCCAAGTCCTGCTTTCTTTCTCCTGGACTTCAAACGCTCGGACGCGTCGCGGACCTGCGCGTCTACTGAATTGACGCTTGCGGTAACGCGACGACGAGAACGCGCGTTCTTGTATATAAAAATTACGCCATTAACACTCAGTTCCGAAGATAATTTAAATACTCGTTGGCGCCGTCGCAGATAGCGCGCGCGTGAGAGAGATCGCTGCCTGTCTCCGTTTCGTAACGAGCGCGCGCGCGCGCACTGCGACGCCGATCCAGAAAAACATATTCAACTCGTTCTCGGAAAGTGCCCACGCGTTCTCGACCTTATCGCCTCGGGAGCGCGATCTCGCGATGCCGATTTCCCGTCTTTCGTCCTCCCGAAACTCATTGTTCCGCGAGCGATTCGTGCGCTGCATGGGCGTGCGTCGCCGTTTGATTAATCGGCGCGATGGAAAAGCTGCTGGCGCGCGTGCGCTCGAATCGCTCAACGATGTGACTCACGTCGACGCGACTCCCTTTCGTTCACTAATAAGACCGCGCAAGTGTGGGCTCTACTTTTTTCTTTTCTTTCTCTCTCTCTCGAAACAAATTGATGCCCGCGCGTCTCCCAGTAAGTGAGCGCGTCAGACGTCACGCGGAACGCTCTCGGCGAGCGCAGGCTGAATAGCATTTTCGAAGCGCGTTCTCGAATCAGGCGACAAAACGGCGTTATTTCCTTCGGCGCAGCCTTGCTCACCGCGGGGATTAGCCTGCCAAGATACGTGGTTTGCAACCGTAAGATAATGGCAACGAGTATCCGCGAGACATGGTCATGGACGCAGAGATATCGTAGCGTTGGTCGCGCGTCCGGCACGCGCATTATTTCGGTTGACGAGCCAGCGGGCAATTAAAAAAATTATAAATAGTCGGGGATAAACAAGCGAGGCCGGGCACCGGAATGATCTTCCGCGAAATCAATCGAAAGACGGAAATAAACACGGATAGAGAGAGGGTAATTCGCGCGGATCGTCGAAAGAAACACAAGCTTTCGCGCGACGACGTTCTCAGAAGCACAAAGGTCCATTGAGACGTCGCGCCCGTTTCGTCGGTCGCGTAAGCGCAATTCGACGTGAAAAATAAACAGCCGGCGGCTTGCGCGCGCCGAAAATAGAGGCGCGCGCGCGCGTGGACAGCGACAGAGGCGCGAGCTCGGAAGGGCAGGTGAGAAGTCGACGCGAGCGCGAGTTATCGTCCGGATCGGCGGCGATTTGGCGCGCGCGGCGCAGATGTGGGTCGAGCGACCGTTAGCCGGAAAAGCCTTTTCCTCGATACGTGTCGCGCGCGTCTGGAAATTTATAGGCCGGGATGAGTTGGTTTGTCTCGACCGTTCTTTTTCTCCCCTCGCCTCTCTTTCTCCTACGCGTCCGCCGTTTTTACGGATCTTCTTCGAGCCGTCTCGCTCAATTTCAGGGCGGAAGATGTGCGCGAAGACCTTTTCGACTTCGGATTTCGGGGCGCGATTCCCACAGCGTCCACACGCGCGCGCGCGAGTCGACCGAGTGGAAAAGCTTGTCTCTCGCTCGGCTCCGGGAGGGGGGTGTGATCGCTTTAGTTGCGCGCCGAAACAGTTTCCGGTTCCTAAAAAACCTGTCGCACTTTCCCCTCGACGTGACGCGTGGGCGCACCGAGCATTTTCGAATATTCCGCGTCGTTCGGCCTGCGCTTCGTTTTCGGCACGGTCCAACGTACACCAATCCTTTGTCGGCCTTTCTCGCGATTCAACGGGCGTAATCTGGTTTTGCAAATGCTCACCGCCACTCGAACGCCGCAGATGCGAATCGGCGCTTGCCTAACTTCGCGTCGGCCGGCCGCTGCTCGTTCGTTCGGGCGGATCGATTCGGCGCGGCGAGCGTGGGCCGGCAATCGCGTCGAACGAGCGCCCCGGAAAGCTGCCGAAACCAAGCGGGTCCCGCGACGACGAGTTCCGCGAAGAGATCCGCCGAGTCGACCGCCGCCGTCGACTGATCGCTGGATCTGGCGCGACCAGGCTATGGCTATTTGCGGCCGTGCTGCTGCGCCCCGCGTGCCAGCACTTGTCGCGCGCGCGCGCTCGGAAGTACATCAGCTGCGCTTCCTACGGCGACAAAGCAGACCTATCCGCGCTCGTTAGACTGTCGGTAGCCCGCCTGGCAGTGCTCCTCTCTTCGCGCCAGCCGCGCAGTGTCAAGTGCGTCGCGACGCTCGTGCGCTATTTATACGCGCGAAAAAGGGCATCTCGCGGCGAGTCGCGGCGTATCTTTTATTTGGCTCTGCCGGCGCGCCGCTCCGCGGAGTCGCGCGACCTTCGCTAATGTCTTTTCTATTTTAGATAAGCGAGCGCGCGTAGCCGAGGCAAGATCGATCGCGAGTCTTATCGCCTTTCTCCCCCCTCCCTTCGCCGTCGACGTCGCTATTTTGCGGTCGCTCTGTATACGCACGGTCAACGGCGCGAATCTCGCGATTCGAGCGTGCGAAGTCGTCGTTCAATTTAGTCGGTGACAAAGACGCCAGCACTGCACTCGATGTGCATGTGTAACCTACCGGTCCTTCCCCGAAACGCCGTGGAGGGGGGAAACGCGTTCGCCCATCGGACCTCGATGCCGCTCCGCCGACAACGAGGGCGACGGCCACGCATCGCGGTGACGAGCATCCCGCGACGCGGCGAGAGGCTGCAGAAAGGAGCGAGGAAAGTGAAAAGCGGAGCGCTCCGGAACGCTTTTTCAGCGCGATTCTCTCCCGCTCTCCTCACTGTCGGACAGTGGCGCACTCCGCGTCGCAATTAGCGGAAGGCGCACGCATCCGATCGCGCGGTGGAACAATGCGCGGGCTCTGTGCTTCCGAGAGCGAGCTAATGAAAAAGGAGCTTCCGTGGGAACGAGCGTTTTTCGCAGGGGCTCGCGCGAAAATCGATGCTGATCCAGTTGCGCGCGGTGCCAAGTTTCGTGCGCGCGGACCGACGGCCAATGTCAAATCGATTGCCCGCGAGGCGCCTCTTGCCGCAGACTGCCTGCTCCGTAGGGTCGACGCGGCGGCAAGCGGTCCGGGGCCGGCTTCCTTTGCCAACCCCGTCGCGCCGACTTTTCCGCGCTGGCCGTCGGTTCGATCGCAATAATCGTTATCCGATGATTAGTTTGTTGACTACTCGCGATAATGAGCTTTTTTGCGCTCTCGGCAGATTAGCCGTTGCCGCGGCGAAGGACGGGCTCTCGGCGAGAGCGTTAATCGTCCGCGGCGGCAGGGAAAAAAGACGAGGAAAAACGAAAGGCGTATCGGCGAATGGAATCGAACGAGGCGCGGTTGGAATACGTACGCGAGGCAGAAAACATGTCGTGCAAAATTGCGTCGACAAAGCTTGAGTTAAGCACGTTGGCGAGGATCGATGTCAACAATAGAAGTAGTACTGAATGCAAACAGGCCGAATGAATATTTGACAAAAGCGGTCGTGGCGGCGGGCGAGAGTGTATTTCCATGGGCGTACGTACAAGCTGCGTGCGCTGCATTCGAAAACGGACTCGTCATGTCGAGGATAAATCGCTCGCCGATCGCAAGAAGTTTCGCGCTCGAGCGGCCGCCTCTCCCCTTTCCCCAAACATCCTCTCCCGAAGAAAACATTTTTAACTGGATACTTCATATATAAGATTATCGCGCGAGCGGCTGAGCTACGAGCTCCTTATAATTTGGTCGTTTTCGCTCTTTCGTTCGTTCGTTCGAAAAGAAACTTTGTTGGAGATTAATCGGGGACCGCCGTCGCCGGGGCTGTTGCTGCTGCTGCTGCTGCTGCTGCTGCTGTAAGCTTCATACTTTTAAAGAGTTTTTGCAAGTTTCTTTTGCGTCCGCCCGATAAGTCGGACTTTTCTGTCCATTATTGCGAAGAACAGAGCTGTCGGCCGAGCAAGGGCACGAAAACTTTCAAACAACTCTCTTCCTCCAGAGAAAGAGTGGACGACGTCTTGATCAATCAAGCGACGTGTTGCGCGGGCCATAAAAGTGCACGACGACGACAACGACGGCGACGACGACGTCGACGACGGCGGCGGCGGCGGCAGCGGCGGCGGTAACCAATACCCCTCACGGCGACGACCGAGACGAAGGCGACGCCGGCTGTTTACCGGAGACGCTACGCGAGGGGCTTCCGCGACACGTTCCCTCCCTCGACCTCGACAACACCGCTCTTTTCCTCGCGAAAACACCGCACGCCACCTATTTCACGCTCGGCGATAAACGCAAACTGCCCGTCGGAAGACGTACTGTCCGCCGCGTCGGCCGCAGGCATTGTTTTCTCTCCGTCGCGCGCATTTTAATGCGGAGCGGCTTGCCAAATCCAGGCGCAGGCTCGGCCGACGGCGTCAATAACCAGCGGCTTTTCTCACGCGCCACCCAGACTGCCCACCCAAGTGTTTGCATAGAGCGTTTAATTTGCGAATCAACGCTCGCTGATTTATAACGTATGCGAGCTGACCGAGAGGAGATTGGATTAGCCGATTACGCTCACGTGGAAACTAAAGCGCTGCCGATATCGCGCGCGTCGGGGTATTTTTACAACGCTGCCACGGCGGCGCGCGGGCATGTCGGAAACCCGTGGCGTCGCTGCACTCCTCGAGAGGCAGCAATCAGTTCCGCCCCGTCGACGCATACGGCAAAAATCGAATCTCCATCGGACAGCGCCGCGCCGCAACTGCGCCGACCAGAGTCGGTTTGCATTGCGATCGATGGGATGCCTGAAAGCTCCTCCCGCGGAAGGAATAAAGAGGCGGCTAGCCAAGTGGCGCTAATTACCAACAGCGCCGCCATTACGAAAGTCGCTGGGATATACGCGCCGCTCGGATGCCCGTGTGCCTTCCAGCTGGTAATTGGTAAATCTCGTCACGCGCGGCCTCTTAATTGAGTGGCGCCGTTGCGTTTCTTCCGCGCGCGCTCGTTTGCCATGCACTCGGCATTGATTTGCGTAATATTATATGCAAACACATTAACGAAGGGCTGCGCTCGCCCGGAGGCCTCGCGGATACTTCGGCTGGCCGCGCGCTTTTCAACCGGGCTCTCTGCGATAACGCTGCCGAAGACGAGCGCCTGGCGAGATGCGACGGCTGACCAAGGCTTCATCTCTAAAAACTCAAATCTTGAAAACGAATTAATAAGGAATGTCTCCGATAATGTTCACGGTCGTGCGAAAAAATTAATAACGCTGCATAATCGAGCCTAAGATGTATTGATTAATGTCATCAAAATATCGACAATCAACTCAAAACTAAAATTCTTGAAAATCACCGAACTTCATCTTGTCATTTTCAGAACTGCGCTCTATGCAAATGAGTACACATTTATCGCGGTATTTGCATAAAAAAGGGGCTGTTGCTGTCAAGACTCGAATAAAACTTCAATCCTTCCAAACCAGTAGATTTCTTCGAATAGTTCGTAAAATTATTTTATAGACCCGACTAGCGATGACTATTCTAGCAAGGTCACTCGAAGATTAGCTTGAGTAGATCGACGAAATTTCAGCAAACATCTCAAAGTCTGTTGAATGACTCACGAACTACGGGCGAAAAATGCTCAACAGCCGTGAGTTTGTAAAGTTCTCGAGAAAAAAAAAAGAAATCGTAAAGTTCTTGGTGTTTTTGGCGATATTTTCGTTGGAGCGAGAGGCAGACTAATCGCCGCGTCTCGCGGTGCTCGTTATCGCAACCAGCCGAAATAAAAAAAAATCAAGCAAATCTTTGATGCTATTATTGGCTGCGCGCGAAGAAAAAGAATTTGCTTGTACAAGTGCGCGTTGGATCTTTTTATTTCGATGCAAGAGCGCGATACGCGTCTCGGTTAATCGTAAAAACGCTCGCGAGAACGTTACTCGACTCGCGTCTGAAGTAACGTAAAGAGACGTAACTTCTCCGTGAGTCGATCGGAAAGGCGGGCCGATCGGCTAATTAAGTTTGGTAGCAGGAGGAGGAGGACAGGTCGCGTGCGTATGTATTGCACAGTGGTCGAACTTCGATAAATCAGGGAGTTTATGATAGTTTCGGCGCCGAGATTATCCAATTAATTAGTTGCTTTTGCAATTGACATCCGATATCCCGCGAGATAGCGGGAACGCAGCTTGCAACACGCATTTGCGTGGTGCATCCCAACGGCAGATCAGTCGCTCGATAAATAATCGCGCAGGCAACTTTTACGCAAGCCACTGTCGAAAAGTCGCGCACCTGTGTCTATCCTAGCGTTTTTCCCCGTCAGTTCTTTTTGAGAGGGGATCGCGTTTGAAGTTAGAAGTCGTGTAAGTTGTCGTGCGCGCTCAAAGATTAATTAGCCGCTAAGTAATTTAGCGTCGTCGCCGGGCGTCCCCTAAGATTTTAAAACTGACAAAGCCTTGCGCTATGTCTCTCGAGACTAGAAGAGCGAGAGAGAGTGAGAGAGAAAGAGACCCCAAGTAGGTCGCTTAAAAAACTTTCCATAGGGGCTGAAAATCGAAGAGTATTGGTCTGGGAACGCGGACGTAGCTATCGGAACGAAAAATCTGTAATTAAGTTCGCTGCTCGCCAATTCAAAGCTCTTCTCCCCCCCCCCCCCCCCCCCCCCCCACCGCTCTCTACGTCTAGCGACGTCGCTCGGCGCCGCCAAAAAAGAAGCAAGAGGCAATCCGATTGGCTGTGTCCTCGTCTAAGCATCGATCGACGCGCACGCAAGTTCGTCATCGTAGAATCGGCGCGGGATGATTCGTACCTCGTACGTATATATACGTTGGGCGCATTACATATTCATAAATGCAATTGAATTTGGCCCTGCCCCCGTCGCCGCGCCGAGGCGCATGAATCCCATTAGGAGAAGACGCGGGAGGCGAAAGTTCACATTAGCATCGCGCCGCCTTAGCTGCGATATTGTGCCGGCCGCTCACGCGCGGGCGTTACGTAAATCCGCGCATTGCGCAAGGGCCAGTATTATCCAAACTCGTAATTCCCGCGAAACGCCCGACAGATCTCGACGGATACGATATCTTATCAGGATTGTTACGAGGCACTTATAGTCGTTGTAGGAGCACTCGATGACCGAGAGATTGGCGCTCGACAGCCACGACGGGCATCGACGGGAGATCCTCGGGCGCGCGCGCGCGCGGCGGACGACTGATTGCGCGGCAGCGCGGCTCGGGCGTCTCGATGGTCCGCGCGCGCAAACATGCGAACCGCGACTCCAGTCGCCGAGGCTCGGGCGGTGCCGTCGGGGCGTCGGCACAAGAGCCGAGCAAATGAGATCGCCTCGCGCTGCTCCACATTCCTTCGGAACTGAAAGCCCGAGCGACCTCTAACCGTAATTAGCGATCGTTTTCGAGCGATATCGAGGGTAGATATCCGCTGCCGACTATCTACAGAGATCTCTGGTCATCACCCCGGAACCTACTTTGCGCTCGGTTCGACGAAGCTTGCGCCGCGACCGAGTTGGCACGGCACTCTCGGAACGAATGATCGAGCGCGTGGAGCGCAATCGACCACTGAGTCGCGTGACGCGCTGATCGATGTTCCAGGTGACAACAGTACCAGCAGCAGAACCAGTAGCGGCGGCGGCGGCGGCGGCGGCGGCGGCGACGCCGGCAGCGACTAGCGCCGACGAGGAATACGCGAGCTTCAAAGTGCCGAGAGCCACGGTCGTGCACATGGCGTCGACGGCCAGTAGACCGCAGCACATGTCCCAGGTGAGTGGCTTCGCGTGTCACACTCGCACACCTACTACCGCGCGAAAATCCGCAACAGGCGCCCGCCCGATTACCAATTCGAGCGATCGACGCCGCGCTCGGCACGTCTCGAATATTTGCGGCTGCCTCGCGCTAGCTCCACGCAAATGCCCAATTATACACCAAAAATCTCGTTTCATTCGTTGACACGTTTATGTAGGTCGCGAACCGGCGCGCAAGCACGCTTTCATTACACCTTCTTTAAGCAAACAATTGACCAGCTTTTTGCTGCTGAATGAACGCTTCATTAAGAGTTAAAAGCGCTCGTAGAGAATTTAATTAAACCTCACTCTGTCTCTGTCTCTCTCTCTCTCTCTCTCTCTCTCTCTCTCCCTCTCTCTCCCGGGCTTACGTTTCAATTCATTATAACTTTTTCATTATCCGCAGGCCCCCAAGTCCATTTGCGCTTCGTGAAATGCTTCATACTATACAATTTCACTTGATTACATTGCAATGCCAATAAACGAGAGCTTTGATAAATCCTTTATCCGCCAATCCCAATGTTTCCTCACTGCGGCGGTGTAATCACAATCATTGAGCAAACAGCAGCAGCAGCTCTGCGCTCTCGTCCCGATCAAATATTTGTAATGATACGACCGGGCGCGCGCAAAAACTCGGTTCTCGGAGCGGTGTGTTTTAGCAAACAGGCCTCGGCCTTCGCTCCGAATGAAGACATCCCGCGCTGCCATTACCGCAAGGGCTTCTTCTTTTCCTGATCGGTTTCGCGCGCACGCCACACGATTTCTTTCTCTTTCGGCGGACAAGCGCACGAGAGAGGGAGAGAGAGAGAGAGAGAGAGAGAGAGAGAGAGAGAGAGAGAGAGAGAGAGAGAGAGAGAGAGAGAGAGAGAGAGAGAGAGAAGAAAAAAAAGAGAGAAAGGATGAGAGAGACGAGTGTAAAAATGAGCGACGTGCTCGCAGGCTCGCAGCGAGGTAACGAGTTGATTTATGAAAATTGGCGTATCTAATCACTCGCGGCGGGCCCATCGCTTTGATGAACGCCGCCGAAGATTAGCGAAAAAACGATTCGCGCTCTCTTTCTCTCGCCTTCGGCCAAGTTTCTGGAGCGAGCGCAAGCCGAAGCAAGTTTCGGCCGGGGGCGAGACGAATTTCGGCATTACTCGCGCTTCGGCTGTCTATTCGCGGCCGAGCCCTCGGGATAAACCACCGACTCGCGATTAATAGGTCCTGGCGACTCTGGCGCTGTCGATGGGCACGCTGTCCTCGGGCTTGGCGAAGGGCTACACCTCGCCGGCGCTCGATTCCATTCTGGGCAACCAGCCACCCAACCCCTATTCGACCAGCAACAACGGCACCTGGTGAGTCGAAAGCGTCGGTCTCGGCGCGCGTCTCGTCCGAAGAGGCCCCCCCACCGAGCGACAGCGGTGCTGCCCTGTTGCAGGACGGCGTTCACGGTGACGCTGCAGGAGGCCTCGTGGGTGGCCTCGCTGTCGATGCTGGGCGCGTGGTTCGGTGCCATGATCGGCGACTGGACGATGCGCAGGGGACGCCGACTGGCGCTGCGGCTAACGTCCCTGCCGCTGGCGGCCACCTGGGTCCTCACCGGCCTGGCGCCCTGCCTCGAGCTCATCTACATCACCAGCTTCATCGGCGGACTCTGCTGCTCCGTGATCACGATGGTCGCGCAGGTAAGCGGCTGGCCGACGGCGCGCGAGCGATCGCTGACTCGGGGGGCTGTGATTGGCCGAGCGCAGGTCTACATCTCGGAGATCTCGCTGCCGGGCATCCGGGGCTGCCTCTCGGCGATGCTGAAGGTGCTGGGCCACGTGGGGGTGCTGCTCTCGTACATCGCCGGATCGTACCTGAACTGGCGCCAAAGCGCGCTGCTCGTGGCGATAGCGCCGTCGATGCTGTTCCTGGGCACGCTCTTCATACCGGAGACGCCCTCTTACCTGGTGCTCAACGGCAAGGACGACGAGGCCGCTAGCTCGCTGCAGTGGCTGCGCGGCTCGCACGTCGACATCAGGCACGAGCTCCAAGTGCGTATCCGTGGGAGGCGTCCCGTCCCCCGGGCAACCACTGACCGTCGGCCGTCTGCTCCTCGCCAGGTGATCAAGACCAACATCCTGGCGTCGCGGGCCAAGCAGTACGAGCTGACGTTCCGGAGCAGCGTGCTCACGCCGCGACTGTACAAGCCCATCGGCATCACCTGCGGCCTCATGTTCTTCCAGCGCTTCAGCGGGGCCAACGCCTTCAACTACTACGCCGTGCCCATATTCCGACAGACCCTCGGGGGCATGAGCCCTCACGGCGCCACCATCGCCAACGGCTTCGTGCAATTGCTCGCGTCCTTGCTCTCGGGTAGCTGCCTCCGACTGACCCGGCCGAGACCGAAGACCGAGCTAACGTCTGCTGCGTCCGCAGGCTTCCTCATCGACGTGGTCGGCCGACTGCCCCTGTTGATCGCGAGCACGGTCTTCATGTCGCTGGCGCTGGCGGGCTTCGGCAGCTACGCCTACTACTACAGCTCGATGTCGCAGATCCAGCACGTGGCGCCGGCCTACGCCAGCGAGGCGGCGGCCAGCGTCAGCGGCCAGTACGACTGGATCCCGCTGCTCTGCGTGCTCGTCTTCACCACCGCGCTCGCCCTCGGCATCTCGCCCATCTCCTGGCTGCTCATCGGCGAGCTCTTTCCGCTCGAGTACCGCGGCCTCGGCTCCAGCATCAGCACCAGCTTCAGCTACTTCTGCGCCTTCGTCGCCATCAAGCTCTACATGGACTTCCAAGAGGTGACCGCGCATCCGCGTGCCGTCCTCGTCGACGGAGACTCGCGCCCGCGAAGACGCCGTTGGCGGCGCTCGCGAGTGGCCCGGATGCTTTTCTCGCGAGCTTCCACGATTTTTCTTCGCGCCCCGATCATCCGCGCCGCCGGCTGGCTCTGGAGTCTTCGACGCGGCGCCTCGTCTCCGAGCGGCCAATAACGCGAGCCTCGCTCGACGCTGTTTCGCAGAGCCTGGGACTGCACGGGGCCTTCTGGTTCTACGCGGCCGTGTCCATGTGCGGCCTGTGCTTCGTGGTGTGCTGCGTGCCGGAGACCAAGGGCAAGCAGCTGGACGAGATGAACCCGGAGTACGCGCAGGCCCGGTAGTATAAGGCCTCCCTCACCGGAGGGCTGTCCAACCTGGAGAAGACGAACAAGCCGCTGCCCTCCGGGGCCTACCCCAACGAGACCGACCCGCGCGTGCTCTACTCGCCGTCGTGCGCGCGGCCCGGCCTGCTGGCGCCGCGCCAGCGCCCGCCGCCCACCACCCTCGACTGCACGCGGCTGGCCGGCCACTGGCGCGCCTTCGCCGAGAAGTCCACGCGCATCGGCCGCGAGCTGCGCGCGCGCCTGCGCGGCTGGCGCCTGCTGCCGCACAGCTGCCCCGGCCGGCAGCGCGGCCCCGCGGCGGGCCTCGCGGCGCCGAGCCTCGAGCGCGGGCCCCGAGGCCGCGAGGCGCTGCGCAGCCTCGTCGAGGAGCTGGAGCTGCGGCGCCTCGAGCGCCCGCCGCGCCGCCCGCAGCCGCGGCCGCGCGCCCGTGGCCCGGCGGCCTGCTGGGCCAGCGAGCGGCCCTACGCCACGCTGCCCAAGCAGCGCGCGACCCGCGGCCGCGCCGGCCTGCGCCGGCAGTTCTTGCCCGGCGACCTGCAGCGCCTCAGCGGCTACCCCAGCAGCCTGCAGGACCTCAAGTACCTGGAGATCGAGGCGATCCTGGGGCGCGAGCCGGCGCGGCCCAGCTCGTACCCGCCGCGCGCGCCCGGCCAGCCGGCGCCGCGACGCTCGCCGCGGCCCGCCCTCGTCGACGACCGGCTGTTCCTCGAGGGCCTCGCCGGCGACGGCGGCTGGCGCCGGCTCGGCAGGCGCGAACCCGGCAAGGTGCACTACGAGCGCGAGTACCGCGTCTACGGCAAGGACACTGTCGCCCTCATCTTCTACAAGACTTGCTACCTGTGAGCGCGCCGCGCCACCACGCCAGGCGGAACACTTCCATGCCTCGTGCCTTCCCGGCGACACGTGACACCACCGCGACGACGCTCGGCGAGCGGGAACGCGAAGCCGATCGCGCGCGCCGACACTCCAAGGGACCCTGCCGGGTCTCCGCGGGCCTGCCGTCGCACCCTCGGCCCTCCGAGACACTTCCAATCACGACGATACGTCGTACGCACCGTCTGTACGTACAGCCGCGAGCAACGGTTACGCGCGCCGCCCCAAACTGTATTACACGTATTGCGTACGGCCGATTGATATATATTTCGTACGATTCGAGAGAACACTGTCGAGGTGTACATTGTCCGCGCTATATCTTGTACATTATTGCATTCGGCGTGCAATCGCGCCACGTGTCGATTTCGCTGCGCACAGCTGTGCGATATGGGCTCGTCAACCTCTCGCTCTCCACCAAATTTCCGCTTACTTACAACGCGCGAGAGGCCCACCACGCCTTACATAACTGACTCGCGCTTCACTCCTGTTTTCTTGCTGTTGTTGCGTTGCTTCAGCGACTTGATCATGCAGCTCGGGAATGACGCGGCAAAGTTGCGAAGATGCGCCGCAGCGGCTTACCGCCATTGGCGACGATATACTCGCGTATTAGTTGTAAAAAGAAGAAACAGCTCTGTTTATCAAATAGACTGTGAAATCTGTTGTGATGAGCGTTGAGAGAGTTGAATTTCACAGCAGATCGCGGGGGAGAGAGAGAGAGAGAGAGAGTTGCCAAGAGACGAGTGCGTAGTGCGGTTTAATATTTAGAAATGTACTTGTATTTTGTATTTTTATATAGTTTGTAGAGACGTGTAGTCGACGTCGCCGAGGCGAAGATCGAAAGAGAACGATCGCGCGAGCGAGGGGAACGGGGAACAAAGTCAGCCAAACGTCAGTATTCGGATGAAATGGTCGCGTTATCGAAATTCACTTATGCCGAATGATCAAAACAGCGTCTTTTTGTATGTGTATTTAGCATAGCCCTCGAGGCTCTCGCGGCGCGGAAAGCAAAAAAATATGTAAGTCATATCCTGCGCCTGCGATCCAGAGATAAGTATCAAGTTGGTTTCCTTTTTTCGAAAGTATATCGAAACGCGCCATATCTTGCTCACGTACATTTTTTACGTAAAGAAAACAAAAACGACACTTGTATATGCAAGCGAGAGGAAGAAGATATTTTTGATTTTTATGTCGCGCAGTGGAGAAAAACTCACGATATAACACGCAACGACGCTCAACGTCATCCTTCGATTCGAGAGACGATTAAAATGAATCGCAAGTGAAAACTTGACAAATATAACAAACATACGTTACATTCAAACTATATTTATTTATTATATACTCGACGTTCGACGAAATATCAGCATTCACATATCCAAATGACTTCAAATGAGACTATTTAGTTGCTAATAATAAGAAGTAAAGGCAAATATTTTGAGAAATTATGAAAATAGCATCGTCGAGTCTATCTTTTGATTTTTCGAAGTACGTTGTTACAAGTTGCCCGATATTTATATAAGAAAGTTTAATCAGTAAAATAATATTGTACGTACTAATTCCTTACACTTGAACATGACAATAATACTGACTATAAGCCACGTTTGTTACAATAATTAAAATATACACAAATATATATCAAAGCAACTGTAATAAAGTGTAAGAGGTAAAATAGCCGAGCTACATTCTCCAAATCTATACAAAAGCAAAAAATCAATCTATACAAACTGAGTTGCAAAGTTGCGCAGTCGTACGAAATATTGATAAAAAACTACAAAGTATTTTTCTCTATATATTAAAGTATACGTAAGCGAAAAAAGAAGAGCGATGGGGAATCGTCTCAGGCGCAAAGACCACTCACCGAGTGCGTTGGGCGCGGCGTCGACGCAACGCGAAATCGCGAGGCTGCGCCTAATCGCCATGTACGCGCGCACGACCGTGCACAGCCGCGATACCTCGAGCGTATTTGGCCTCTGCGCGCAAGCGACGAGCCGAGAGACGTAGGCTGGATTACGTGGACAAGTCGATAGAACTAACGATACTCTGCACTGTGCACTCTTGTGAATTGAAGTTCTCGCGTATAACGGTAGCAGCGACGATAATAATTAAGCGCGACCCCCCCCCCCTCCCCCTCCCGGTGGCCTGTCATGTCGCAGCCGAGGCGAACCATGGCGCTGCCGAGAGACTGCCAGCCAATCGGACTAAACGCGACAATAAACGAAACACTTTAAACTTTGCTCTCTCTCGGTTTTTCCGCCGTCGCCTCGAGAGCAACTCTACGAACGCTGCCTCGTTTCCGTGCTCCGCGGACGTCCGGCCGACCGTGTAAATAAATGAATTTTCAGAGAGAGAGAGAGAGAGAGAGAGAGAGAGAGAGAGAGAGAGAGAGAGAGAGAGAGACCGACGAAGGAGAGAGAGAGAGACGGAGAAAGCTTCGAGCTTTTTTGCCTGCCAGTCGTTTGTACTTGTCGGCGGCTCGAAGCTTTTTACGTGCTCCCCGAAAGCTCGCCACTGCCCCCGACTTGGCCGTTTTTTTCTCTCCCTCCGGCGGTCGCCTCGATTGCTCTCGAGCTTGTAAATGCCGCTGCTTCCTCCTGCGCGACGCAGCTGGTCATGCCACGCTGGCTCTCTCAATCAGAATACATATACCACGTAGCTTCATAGTGCAATGACTATAATGTACTTAAGGATTTTGATATTATTACCATTTCTCCTGTAGGTTAATAATATTCCGGCAAATTTACCGAAACGAGTGGCAATCCTTTCGTCTAGACTAATGGAACAAGACTTGAAACAAAACAGAAGAAAACGTTATCGTGAACAAGTCGTCTTCGAGCGACTATATATATTGTAATATACACGAATATTATATATAAATAAACGAGTAAGTGTAGCTAAGCATCGACTTACGATTCCAGCCGAAGCGCGCGCTAATGATAAACAAAACACTTGTAAACTGAGAAAATTAAAAAAAAATCACAAAACAAATAAATAACAAAAGATAAAAGTATAGCAACCTAAAATAACGGATAATAATGAAACTCTACGACAATAAAATAACGAAGAGGCAGAGAGTGAGAGAGAGCGAATGCATGTGGATGAGTGAGCGAGATAAACTGTATTTTCGGAGCGCGAAAAAAGCAAAACGACAGAGCACGAGGGACAATGTGGAAACGATAATAATGAAAATTCCGACGGTCCGATGGCCTTTTGAAAAGGTCCGTTCTTTTCAGCTTCGCTTGCTAGATTTAATATTTTTGTAATGACGCCTTAGTACATACATGTAGCTTATTTATACCTCCGTAGAGATTAAGCGCAGAGCTCTTGAACATGAATATATATATACATAGAGACACAAAGTGACACACACACTCAAATACATGCGCGTACACACATCTCTTTATGACGGGAAAAATTTTTCGCTTATAATGCAACTTGCGAGAGAGCGGGGACGGCTTTCGATGCGGCTTATTGAGGATTACTATATATGTATTTTTTATTTTTTTTCGCTGAGCACGCTGCTTGCTGCGCGTCAGATTTTATGTGATTCTACTTGTTTTTCGGTTGTAAGGCACTTATCCTCTTTCTCGTGGTTTTTCGATGGATTATTCATTCACCAATGCTTTTGCTTTTGTTGTTGAAAAACGTCACTTAATTTTGAAAAAGTACGAATAATACTAATCAATTGCGATATTATTTTGATAAATTACGTATTTTAAGCTTTACTCAAAATTATGTATTGGAAAAAGTAGTGAAAGTAAACTACTGAAAGTCACACAATGTAAACACCAAGACTATAAAATTTAACTCATTCGTATCAGTTGACAATTATTGCGATTTCTTTACGTGCATAACCATTTGATTTGAATGTTATGTACTGAATCTTGTTCGATAATTGAGTATTAAAAAAGATTGAAGCAAAAATTATTTCAGTCCTGCCAATGACATACTGAAATGTGACAATGTTATGAAGGGGTAAATATAGAAGCTTTCAATCTCTATAATGAGTGTAATAGGTCTATTTTATGTTGAAATGTGTGTACTTAAGTCCTACTTATCAAATAATTGATGATCCGCCTTTGTACCTTTGTAGAGAAAGTATATCATATCGATACAAGCCATATATGATCGCTAAAGTAACAGTCTGCAGAACCAAAATGTTGCGTGTTTGTATAGAACTATACATATTAGAAAATACATTAACTGCTAAATAGAAAAAAAAATACTTAACAGTACATTTGTGAGTAATTATTCATTATATAATCCCACATTTACTCTAACCCTGATAAAATGTACCATCAAATCAAATCTTTATAGTTTGAACAGTATCGATGCAATATCCTACACTTACCGAGTTGTGGTATCGATGACCAAGTATCACAGTCAACCAGATATTGCCCTGATTGTACAGCACCCAATGCAACAATCCTTTTTGTTAAAAATTCAATTGTTTGAGGACCTGTTCTATTTTCTGTCATGGGATACTGATACAACCTATTAGAAGAATTTTTATTTTATTATTCCATTTTTGGAAACACTGCTAAGTATTCTAGACGATAACAAAGGTATCTAAAAATACTAGATTTAATACATTTTGAACTTAATATATATAAACACAATTATGATGCACTACAAAACAGTTAACATCATACATAAACATCCTAGTATAACCAAAAAACTGATTGAAGAAACTATCCCAGAAACTAGTAGACCTTTAAATATTACACAGCAAAAACTTACACGACCACACCCATTTTGTAAAATAAATATAATTCTAAAAATTTTTCCACCAACAACTCTTTATTTAAAATTACGTCAACTTTCTGTGTTTACACCGGTATTTGCTCGCAACTTGCATCAGAGCCTGCGTCTGCACGCGGCTGCACGTCTGCACCGGCAGTATATAGCTGCTCGATAAAACTATAAATGCAACTGACCTGCCATCTAAATGGAACAAAGTGAAGTACAAATAATTTTCAACGTTTCTTTGTTATCCATTGTCGAGTGTGTAGATATTTCTTAAGAGTTGTTGACTGGCGCTTTATTTATTTATTGCGTTGAAGTTTAATATTAAATAAAATAAATCATGTAAAAAATGTCCACTAAATTAATAAAAACTGAGGGGTAAGAGTCATTAGAAGAAATTTTAAGCAGAAGTTGTACATATAAATTGTTTGTTTAAACGTAATAATAATTATTTTTATATAACAGTTTTCAAAATATTAAAAGTAATTACAATTTTCAAACTTGATAACAAAGGTAGAACAACGAAATTGTCTTTTTCCAAGTTTTTAAATCAAAGATGAATTTTGTAGTAACAACGTGAGAATGGAACACAGATGTCGCCAGCGTCTCTGAGAGCTTCGGAAATCCCATACATCGGCTAACGCGGTCTGCGGAAGCACAAGCTGGCAGCTGCACAAGCAGCAGCAGCGAGGAGCGCGAGTGTCGCGTGTGTCGCGTCGTAGGAATGTTTTTGACCTGCGTCTGGGTGTATTGATTTTCTGAAACGCCGCCCCCGCGATTGCGCCGGGACGCCAATTTACGTCCCGTTAGTGCCGTCGTAAGATCACGGTGCACGTGCCTCGACAATCGTCTCACTATTGCTAAGTTTGCGGAAAGAATCGATCATCCGGCAAAGTCGACCTTAGCAACCAGCTAACGGAGGCAGCTTTTCGCAAGGCAAGGTGAGTCACCGTGAGAAAGAGAGCTGTGCTCTGCTGTGCTCTGCTGTGCTCCGTGTGTGCCTGTGTACTTAGCAATGTGAAAGTATGCTATGGGCATGACAAGTACATACTTTTCTTTTAGAAGCTGTAGGTCTTTTCGAAGGTCTTTTATTACCCTTGATAGATCAAAAAAGAGAGTTTTGGAAACTAACCTATAAGTCCTTCAATATTTTATTGCCGTTAGACCTCTAGGGTACTTAGACTTTACAGTGTGGGTGTAGGAATTTTCGTCATGCATAAATTTACATCATCTAAAGATTATGAAATTGAGCTTACATAATTTACCTTATCAGCAATTTTAGAAAATTTAATAAATTTTGTAGCTAAATTTCTTATTACGTGTATGTAGATAAAATTAGAACAATAATTCACTTGTGGAATCGCGATTCTTAAAGTGCAATCATACACGCGGTGTGTATGCGTGTGGATTAAGTGAAATTTCTCGAAATGAGTACGCTTAAATAGTTTTACGTCGATATCAGTACGAGAGAGAGAGAGAGAGAGAGAGAGAGAGAGAGAGAGAGAGAGATAGAGAGAAAGAGAGATAATTCATCCGAAATAATCCTCAGCGTAAACATCATGATTTCAATGCTCAAATTCAGCAGCAGCAGCGACAAAAAGTGAGGTGAAAAAAGATGATATAAAAAAAGTAGCGAAGCCTAGTGTGATATAGCGCGTCAATTTTATTCAGCTCGCGCTTCGCTCGCTCGTTTTTGCATAAACGGAGATGTGCATTTCCGTGCTTCGTTCAGTGAATGCTAGTTCTCTCCATATTCGGGCATTGCTTGCTTGGCTCGCGTACACGGCACTGCGCGTGTGCGTGCGCGCGTGTGCGAGGCTGCCCTTAAACGCGATTTTTCTCGCTCGACGTGATTTTGAATGGTCGTTAAACGCTTTTCCTTGTAAACCGCGAGACGACGAGGATGGAGAGAAGAAAAAGTTTTAGTTTGCTCTCGCGCAGCGTAGAGCGCATTAGCCCGGAGGAGAGAGAACGGCAACAGCTGGGCGTAAACGCGGACTTGTGTTTTCACGGGCCGCTGGCTTTGTAGGTTAAGTTCGCTGCATTTTCCCGAAAAAAAAGTACGTTTGTACGCGCAGCGGTCCTCCCGCGCGGCGAGTAATGAAAGAGCCAAAAGAGGCATTCTCCCCCCGTCCGATAAAAGTGATCGGTGTGCCGACCGCATCGGGAGCGCTGAAAATCGCTCGGATTAACGAGCTGCAGGCCGGCGAAAGGGAGAAAGGCGCGGAGGAAAATGGTTTGGTTTCGAACGGACGTTCCGGCGCGCATCACAACTCGTTAGCTGGCAGGCTTCGTCCCGCGCGCGGCCAAAGCCTTTTAGCGCGCTGTCAATTTGCAAAGGCCGCTAACCGGTCGGCCGCGCTTGCGACAGAGGCTGCTCCGCTCTGGCGTAATCGCCCGTGCGAGGGCTTACGCACGTACAACAGCGGTAAAAGCGCGCCGACCGTGCGCACTCGATGTTTATCGGATTCGACGAGTGTGGCTGCGCGAGCAAAACGAGGAGAGCGAAGCTCGGCGACGGATTCGTTTGTCCGCTCGACGCGACTGGCTGCTCGGAAAATCGCTTTGACCGTCCCGAGCTCGAGGCGCCGCGCACGCCTCGGCGTTACCGTTCTCGCCGGGCCGTGCGCAGCGACGCGGCGAGCACTGCCTCTAATCGCGCCGAGCTTGCTATCCGCGACGGGGCTCCTCCGTGACGGGAGAGCGAATAACGACGTCGAGTCGCGCCGAGTTGCGCGTCTCGACGGTCCAGGCTCGCAATCGGCACGGCTGCGCGCGCGCGCGCGCTGCCACCGGAACATGCTGCCAGAGGAAGCGCGTGCCTCGAATGCCAAGCATCTTCTACTTGTGCATCCGCGAGATGGAAAACGGAAAGGCTGCGAGATCTCGTCTTTATTTGGGAAAGACGCCGGGGGAGGTAAGCAGCGCTCGAAGTGGGTGGTTCGTTGAATATTCCAGGTGTGCGGACCTGTGGAAATCGCGAGTCGAAATCGAGCAGGGCACTTTGAAATCCAGAACAGCGAGCGCTGGGAGCACGGGCGAACTCGTCGTCGAGGCGTCGCCGGAGACGAAGGCCACTTTGAATTTTTCATTCGGAAAAGTTTCGACGCGGCGTTTTTATAGACTCGGCGCTCGGGCTGGCAGTTCTCGGCGAGCGATAATGACGCCGTCGGGCCTCGCGAACCTCGGCGATGCCGAATAAAAAGCGACTTAAGGCTCTGCTACAAACGTCGCCGCGTCGCTCGACGTGCCGAAGGGAGCTTTCGCGGCGCACCTCGCTGCTTTCATTTCCGAGCGCTCTGCCGCTACGACGCTAAGCTCGTGCAAATTCCGTTCCTCGAGCGCCGAGTCTGCCAATTTTACGAAAGGATTAGGCCAGCTTCTATACCTTCCCTCGCTCCCGTCCAAGTGTGCCATCGTCCTATCTCCACAGACATGTCTATTTGGATTCCCTCGGCGTGTCTTGCGAATGTTTCCTGCAAGTTAGCGGCCATGTCGAAGATTATATTTGAGCATTATTTTGAGCATTCTATTATAAGATTACATTTGAGCAGCTCCCGTCGATCAAAGCGACGTGGCGGGGAATCAACTTACTCGGTCAATCACCGTTTCCCGGTCGCTTTCAAATTCACTTTCATTGCCACACTCGAAGCGCAACTGAATCTCGTACTTTCCGAAACGACTGGTCGTCGCTCGTCAAGGCATCCGCTGGCGCAATCGAGAACTCATTAGTCGCAAGCTCTAATAAAAGCGCCCGGGTGTCGTCGCGGTTCAAGTGTATCTTTCTGAGCATCCGGCGCGCGACGGACAATAATGCCGATGAATATTCGCGCGGCCGATAAGTTGAGCGATGGCGGCGTTGGAAAACCAATTATCGCGATCATTGCGCAACTTGCCAGTCTGGGCGCCCGGCGGCAAACTAATCCAACTTTCGCCTTCCTTCTTTCTTCTTTCCGACTCCCTTGCGTTTTCAAAATAACGGGCGCGTAACGCGATTTCCGAGCGCCTCGACGCAGCATGAATAATGCAGCCTCGAACGCGAAAAAATTCCTCGGGCGCGAGGGGTATTTTTTCTCTGTTTTCCATCCCTCCCCCCGCGACCCCCGTACTTTTTCCGCCTTGGCGCACTCGCACTCGCACTCGCCGACGAGCGTTGCAACAGCGGCGTTCCACTGACATCGATTAATAAACGGGATCCGACGCGCGTCGGATTTCGTTCTTCCGGCGACTTCTTTTTTTCGCGCTCGCTCGCTGCAATTTTCGGCACGCGAGGCGCGCGCGCAGCTGTACGCGTGGCCGGCTGATAGAAAACGACTTCTCTTTTCTTTCTTTCGCTTCGATGAATAGAACGGCCGATAACGGAGTTTCGGAGGCAAATCGAATCCGAGTGACGTCGCGTCGATGCGGATTATCGTTCGCTTTTAAAAGCAAATCGAGCGAGTACGCCCAGTTTGCGTATGGAAATGGGCGATATCAGTTGACGTATACGCGCGCGTTGGAAGCGACAAGTAGAACGTCGCGGCCAGTCAAAATCGAGGAAGACGCGAACTGCGAGTAGCGAAAAGATGCGCCAGCGGACGTTCGACGGGGACCATGGCTTGGGCTACCAGGCCAAACATTACCGTCGACTCCTACGCCAGCTATTGCTGGTCACCGTGGCGCACATCATGCCGAGGCAGCTTCCGAACGGCGGCAAGACAGTGCCGCAATAAGCAGACTACCCGTCTGGCGTATATCTTTGCGCTGCTGTCGTCGAAACAAAGGGGAGTCGCAATGGTAGACATCTGGCCTCGACATTGCTCGGGGAGAGAAACGAGCGTCGGCGCGGGTAAATATCGAGCGGCTAGACGACTCCGCGAGGACCAACTTTTTCAATCAGCGTTCTTTTTCTCTCTCTCTCTCTCCCCGTTCTCGTGCGTGTGACTCAGCATCGCGGTTCGGTCTCGTCGAAACTCGTAAATTATTCTCGCTCTCTGGCGCTCCGGTCGTCGTAAAACGCGCGCTGGTCGAGCGTTCGACGATCGAAAGCGCGCCGCGCGAAATGGAAAGTCGCGCGGAGGAGGAGCGTCTAAGCTTTAACAGCCTCGCGGGAGGTTTCCGTTCGCAGTTTCAGGCGGCGGACCTGCGCCGCCGACGATCTCGTTTGGGCGACTCGCCGGCGAGCGAACTCAGCGAACGCGTCCGCGACCGGCGCTTGACCGAGCATCGCTCGCACGGCGAATCACTGCCGACGACGCGTGCGAACACTCGAGACCCACCGAAATAGACGCGCGTCCGCCGGCCGGGAATATTCTTGGAAAGCCTGCCGAAACGTCAGTACGCACCGGCGGTCGGAGTAGTTCGCGCGCTGGCTCGTCGAGCACGTACGGCTATTGTACGTATTGGCCAGCCGCGATCGTAAAGCTCGACATTGCTGGGCCGAATCGCGTCCAATCGCGCCCTGGCAGTTGTCGAGCTGCGGGTCTAAACTTGAAACTCGCTTTGAAGGCTTGGCAAATCGGCCGACGCATCGGACGCGTACGAACGGAGCCGACGGAGAGCCACGAGGGCGCTCGAGTGGCGCAGTCGCGGCTATTCCGAGCTCGTGCTCGGGGCGAACGGCCGGCGCGGCGCGGCTCCGGAGCAGCCGAGCCGTCGAGATCGATCGGCTCCGCGCCGGGCACGTCGATCGATCCGCGGGCGGCCGCTCGCGTGATATCGATACGAGGAGCTCGGAGCCGTCTACGTTCGACGGCTGCGGCGATCCCGCGGGACAACCCGCCGCGGGATTTACGGGTTCGTTAACCCGCGACGCCCAAGGGCTGTCGATTCGTCGCTAGAGACCGCGATCGATACGCCGATAAGGATCGAGGCTCATTTGTCTATCCGACCGGTGCGCTCGTTGTATCCGCGCCCAATTCGGTCGGTGATGCCGTCCGAGCCCTCGCTGGATCGAGAAGTT